TTTTAATATAAGAAAAGAAAAAAAAAAAAAAAAATTTAGGGATAGATGGAGAGGTGTTTCTCTTACTATTCGTGGAGATGTCTCTTGCCTGTAGCGCTGCTGCTGCTGCTCCTGCTGCTCGTAAAGGGGGGATTTCCTCTCTGGCTGCTGCTGCTGCTGCTGGCGACGTCGCGAGCCGCAGCTATCCGCGCACCGCAACGACGACGACAGGCTCGAGAGAAGAACATGGTTTCCGACGCACAAATATCCCTAGCTCTCGAAGCTTGAAGCTTGCAGCAGGGTAATCATGAAGTGAAAGAAACCGTGGCTTTTTCATATGCTGAGTGGTGTCTGCTTCCGTCAGTAGAGAGAGTCGGTAGCCGGCGTAGCGGATTTCCTCGGCTGACTACCTAGTCAGTCAGTCGTTGACTGCTTACTCAATGAATGAATGAATGAATGATACGCAGACTCCCCCCTCCCCCATTTTTTTTCCGGAAAGCCTTGCGGATCTACGGACTTGAACGTGTCAGAAAGCTTACCTACCTTTACTTACCTTTTGGAGGTTTTGCTAGGGGAAAGAATGAATTTGGCATTTCCTTGGCCGCATTGAGGAGGTGGGCCGGAAGTACTCCCTCTGTCCGTATCAAAAAAAGAAAAAAAAAAAACGCTTAGTAAGCGGAGATATCTCTGACGCACAAGTAGCCTATCCATTCATAAACGTTCAGTTGCAGATGAATCCCTGCTTGCGAACCACAGTGGTTCGAACTCGTGAGTAGGACCCATGGTATCCGTCCACGATGCCACAACTCGTTGAAGAATGTCCTTGAGGAGTCACGGAGGTGTCTGAGAATTATCCGATTCTTCAATTTTTAGCATGCGGACTCCGACGCTTGCAGCTATACTCCGTACAGTCTGCACCTGCTGTTTCCCTTTTTGGAATTCGCTTGCCTTGCCTCGCCTTGCCTTGCCTTGCCTTGTCTGCCCTCGTATTCTAGAACTCCGTACCCTGGGAAAGAGCTGACGTGTGAAAATAGTCTGACGGCGCGGGTAGCCAAGGGCCGGCATTATCGCTGCCATCAACCCACCAAGTAGTTGTAGAATATCGAAATATATACATATGTATGTATGTATGTATATATTTCAGGCCGCCAGACCACGAAAGTAGATTCCAGGACCTCCCACAGCCTCCCCATTATCGACCACTCTCTCTAACTGACTCCCTGGACATCGGCTCAAGCTCACCCACGTGCAGCAGCAGCCATGGCTTCCATCCGCGTCGACCTTTTCTCCATCACGCGAGAGCGATATTGTCTTCCCTGCAGCGCATCTCCCAACTAGCTGCTGCTATGCAAGAAGACAGCGAAGAAGTAGTTCTATCTTGCATATCACGGCTGTCTGAAGAGCGTAATCTGCCTCCCGGGAAACACCAATGGTCGTACATGGAGTAAACAAATAGTTGACATTTGACGTGGCGTTTTTGAAAGCCGCTATTGGTGGAAGGGAACTGTTGCCGAGAGGTTCGCTGTTATATATCGTACCTTCTCTTCTAGAGCGGCAGTCGCAACGCCGTCGTCATCTACACTCATATCTCGAGCTGGACCGGCACAGTGATGCCCTAGCGCTAGGCTTGCGCCGCGGTCTCGGGACTCGGAATTGAGACCGGGTGGCGGCGAGCAGATCAGTCTGGGGAACTAACTGTGCTGCGTATGCCGCTGTGAGCGAGCCGGTGAGAACACCAGTAGAGAGCGATCGCGCGACGGTTTCGCTGACCGAGACAAAAAAAAAAAAAAANAAAAAAAAACCAATCAAAATCGTTTATGCCTATTTCAAGGTGGGAGCTGGCGTAACGCCGTTGAATCCAGCCCACACTCTTGACCCAATCGTCGCGGCGTTGACGCTTATCGAAGTAGCTTGTCGGGTCCTGGGTACAGAGATCACGCTGCCTGCCATACATTGCCTAAGTCGACTGCTGCTCATTTTGAAAACCGTGATGTGCGAGATGGAAGAGCAAGTCCCTCTTCCAAGTACCTTCTTCTTCGACAATTCGACGGGTCGTGAGTACTTTCAAATCATGGCCTGAAAAGGGTATACTCCGTTCGTACTGTGCTCACTTCGTTCACTCAGAGGCGAATCCGTCCGTCCGACTTGGAATCCACCGTAGCGTAACATCAGCATCGACATCGGCATCGGCATCGGCAAAGCAGGACGTTAGTTTCTACTTCTTGATTCAATAGCAGCGTGAAGGCTAGATAACCATCGTTAGCTAGATAGACCCCCCCCCCTAAGTATTTGCACTCAAGATTGACGAACAGACGGACCACCAAGATCAACGCGCGAGAACCAAGATCTCCCTATACCCCCTTCGATCTAAAGCCGAAAAGTATCGCTCGGTAAAAACATCGATGAAAGCAGGGCCGAGAAACGCGTCAAAGGCTTTTTCTTCTCCAAGTCGAGTGCGAAAGCAAACTGCCCGATGGTGGGTGGCCTCTGCAACGATGTAACATTCTCGGACTGTGTTTTCCTCGACTAGATCAGATTCTCCGCGATCTTGAGAAGAAATGTCGAAGCGAACTTATAGTACGTATCGAAAGGAGGCTTTGCGGAATGCGGGCAGTTCTCCGTCGGGAAAATTGATTTAATAGTAATCGTCGGCTACCTAGAGTTATTTCATCGGCTCCAAGGACCTTAAAGAGACCCGGGACAGTTTTATGAAAACAGCTCTCAAATTACAACTATCGTTATTGAGTAAGTTGACCTTGATGGCAAGCAGCTTACGCAGTTCCAAAGCGAGCTTGGAAGTACGTACGTATACTTACATGTGCAATTGAGTATAGTTTATAGAATTCAATCACATGAAATCTAATCACGTTTTGTGCTATTTTGGGATTCTGCTGCCCGTGACAGCCCGCTTTTTAACGGACCAATCGATCCTATTCGCTTAAGAACCTTAAATGCATTTTTACTTGAAGCCGCATTCCCCCCTGTACTTCCCCCCCTGTCTCTATTGTAATACAAAGCTCGCAAGCTCGCTTTGATTATAACGAGTTTGGAATTTTTTATGGATTTGATTTGCTTTGTTAATTTATCGGTGTACGTACTGCTTACTGCTTACTGCTTGCTGCTTGCTGCTTGCTGTATAGTATAGTATAGTATAGTGTAGTAGTATAGTATAGGTACCTAGTATAACATAAAGATGCCGAGGTTCAGCTCCTTCCTGATAAGGGGCAGATAAACGATAGATAGATAGCGTGAGCTATTTATAGGATGTTTGTTCGCGTGTAAGAAAAGGGTTTACTTCGGGTAAGTTTTTGTACTAGTAGAGACGGGGGGGTTGGTTTAAGGTTTGGATACGGTACTTACTCGTTAAAGTGGTTTGAAAAGGGGGGGGGATCATCTTAGCGATGATATCTTGATGATGGTGGTTAACGCTATTAAAAGCGGTTTTTTTCAAAAAAAAAAAAAATTGACTTAAATTTTATCCATCTAGAAGGAGAGGAAAAAATTCTCTGCTTTTTTTTTAATATAGCGCTGATTATGCTTACTATTATTAATGATGATGATGATGAAAGATTCCGTAGGCAATAATCTCTTTCTTCTTCTCTTTCTTTCTCTCTCTCTCTTTCTTTTTTTGTCTTTCTTTTTTCGATTTAATTATTTGAGATGAAGATGAAAGATCGACGACGCGTAGGCCTTTCTTTTATAAGCTCTCCTTTTATGGTTTGGCCGCTCGGCTTATACTTGTCGATTGGTTGGCTGGTCGGTCGGTATCTAAGCAAATAATAATAATAATAATAATAATGAACGATAATAAAAATAATAATAAATGATAATAACAACAACAATAATAATGATGATAATGATAATAATAATAAAGATAAATGATAAAAAGACCGGGGTGAGATGTCTCGATTTTCACAGATGAAAGGAAGGGGAATGTTTGAGTCTTTTCCTACTCCCTATGTGATAGGTGGATTCCCATCTCATTCCGTGTTCTCGGTGCGTTCGGCAGCGGGACGGACGGACGGGTAGACGGACGGACAGACGGACGGACGGGGTGGGATGGAAAAGTTGGAAGCGATTTTGTGTAGTAGGTGCAATTCTGGATGGGATGGGTGCTGTCCAAGTGGATTCTGGGTGTAGATCAGGAGGGGAGAGAGGCGTGAGCGGCGAGCGGGGCGTTTACGAAGATGCGTGGTCGTGATCGGCCATCTGTGTGGCAGCGGATTTGCTCATATTCCAGTGTTGTTGTTGTCGTTGTTACTGTTGTTGTCACGGTGATCATGATATTACTGCTCATATTGTGTTGTTGTTGTCGTTGTTACTGTTGTTGTCATTATTAGCATGACGTTCTGATCCAGCCTTTCTTTTTTTTTTTTTTTTCCAACCAGGTCCCTCCCTGCAGCCGAGGTCACGGACCGACAGCTCAGCTCGTACTGTCTTGATCGGCATCGAGTCATCGACCAAGAAAAACCTTGTTTGCCGTACGGTACCCCACTACACTAGACCGGATGCGGGCATTAAGAGCGGGGGAGTGGGGAGTGGGGCACGAAGCTTCTTTGATTACTCCGTGTGATGGCGCTCTAACGGGAAGGAGAGAGAGAGATAGGGAGGAGGAGGAGCTGGGTTGGGCTGGACGAAGAAGTTGGAAGTTGAAGTTTTTAATTTTATTTTAGATTTTTGAGCTTATCGCTCGCGGGTGGTACTATAGAAAAGTATATATCACTCTGGCGCATCTAGCGTGATTCGGGGGCTTCGGTGGCATATGCACCGAGGGATAAATGCTGAGTAAGAGCTGGGTGCAGGTCCCGTATCAACATGCGACCGGCGCGAAAACGAGCGACACGTACGCGCACACGCACAACGGGAACACGGGACGACGGACGGTTCGAGAAGGTGGCCGGCCTCGTGTTCCTGTACAGAGTACAGAGCAGGTACGTAGTACTACGTACGTACGTTGTAGTTGTTGGGCTGGCTGGGTCAACGGTGGCTAAGACATGATCGAACATGGACATGGGTTGAGAGATGGAGATGGATAATTGGATGGATATGGGATATCAAATCAAATCACGACGTGCTACGTAAATCACAAGTCAACAAAAAATCATATCATACCGGTAGGTACCCTATCGCTGCCATCACGTCATCACATTACCTAGCTCTCATATCGGACGGCTTTCCCTTTCGGCGGGTTGGTCGGCAGGCTGGAAAAATTGCAATATTGAAGTCTGACCTGATTAACAGATTGACAGATTGACTGAATGACTTGATTTCCGGCGTTGGCCGTTCTGGGGACCCACCAGCGACCACGGAGAAGCCTTTTCTCGAACTGGTTGGCACAGCAAGTCAGCGAGCAGGGGATGGGGTGGCGTGGCGTGGAGCGTAGGGCATGGGGCATGTGGGTGGAGTGTGGATGGTGGTGGATGGTCGATGGTGGGGCTTGGGGATTGAGGATTGATTGGGATCGAGTGAGGATCGGCGAGAGAATGTTGAAACGTTGAAATGTTGAGAGGGATGGGGATGGGGATGGGATGGGATGGGATGGGATGGGAGGGAAGATGGGAGGGGTCACGTGTGTCTCTCGAAGAGGCGGGATAAGCGGATCCAGCCACCAGCCAGCCCGGGACAGACGACGATTTCGTACGGCGTATGCGACATTCAGTAAGTACTAAAGTACTACTGTACTAGAAGTCGAGGTCGATTCGTACCGTGACTGGTTGTCGGGGTGCCCACCGCCCACCACCCCCCTGCCCACTGCCAACTTCAAACAAGCCACTCCTGCTCTGGCTGACCGACGCTTCTCCCGTAAGTCTGATCTCCACTCCCCCCCTGTCCCTGCCCCTGCTTAGTCGATGCCAAGCCCCAGACCCTCGTACCTTCCGCTCCCTCTCGCTGGTCATTTGGCAGGCACATAAAAGTCTTCGTCACCACGATTCCATTCTTCCCTTTTTCTTCTCCTCCCAACACATTCGTTTCTGTTCATCATCTCCATCTCCATCTCCCTCTCCCCCCCCTCCTCTCTCCTCCCTCTCCTCGGTACCTCCAGTCCGACCCCTAATACCGATTCCACCTTCGTTACAGAAAACCCCCCCACTGTCGTTCAAGATGTTGTCCGCTCAACCCCTCCTCGTTCTGGGCTTCGCCGCCGTCGCCCAGGCTGGATACTACGCCGCCTACCCATTCACCAACGCCAGCTCGTCCGAGGTATGGTGAACTCGGGGCGGCTCGATCCGACCGCGGTTCTGCCTCTCGGATATACCAACTAACATCTGCCTAGATCGTTGCCTTCACCACCGTCACGACCTCGATCCTCACCACGGTGTGCCCCACGCCCGCAACGCTGACCTACGGTATGTCTTGGGCTTTGGCGGCGATGGATATCTGGCTAACATCTGCGAGGCACCAAAACCTACACCGTGACCGCCAGTCAGACCTTGACAGTGACGGACTGTCCTTGCGTTGGTGAGTAACTGCATCCCGACCCCGCTGATGTCCTGTTGGTCCAATATCTGATGGAAATCAGCAACCGTCCCGATCTACTCGGCCAAGCCCAAGCCCACGCCGCCAGTTGCGCCCGTTGGAACCGCCGTGCCTCATCCAGGATACAACAACACCTCTCCTCCAATCTATGTCACCAAGACGTTGACCTACTCGGAGTACACCACAGTACGTTGCCAACTGCGCGAACCACGCGCTCTCGGTGCTCATTTACTGATTCTACGACCAGTACTGCCCAACCCCGGCTACTTTGACCTACGGCTCCCAAGTCATCACGGTCACCAAGCCAATGTACGTACTTTTCTTTCTCAGCGAGAGGAACACTGCTGATAATGCGACAGGACTGTGACTGTCACCTCGTGCGAGATCACAGCCACATTGCCTGGAACCGTTTCTACCGTCGTTGTAGGCACAACCTCCATCTACCTGCCTACGCCCACACTCGTCACGATGAACATGACTACTTACCCCGTTACCGTCCCAACCTACGTCACATACCCAATCTACGGCACTACTGTCGTCCCGGTCTACCCTCCATCATTCCAGACCCCTAATGCTCCGTCCCCAAGCGCACCAGGCGCACCAGGCGCCCCAGGAGCCCCAGGCGCACCAAGCCCCCCAAGCCCCAACGCACCAGCCACTACCCCAGCCCCGCCAGCTGTTATCCCACCCTACCCAATTGGCAGCCCTGTTACCAGCGGCGTCGCATCCAGCACTGCTGCGTACGTTCACCTCTTGCCCTCGAGATGTAGGAACGAACTTGCTAACCTCTTGTCCAGGCTCCCAATTCCATCCGCCCCCCCCGTGGTGACTGGTGGCGCTGCTATCAAGCAGGCCGGCCTTGGTGTCGTGGCCGCTGGTTTGATCGCCCTGATCCTGTAATCCCGTGGCTCGAGCCCCACCTCATGTCTGAATGATTTAATGCACGTTACAGTGTAGATTATTACGCGGAGTTTACAAGGAACATTCATTCGGTACAAACAAGTACTTTGTCGGAAGATCGGTATGATCAGGAAATTTTGGGAGAATAGATTTGCATTGGAATTGCTCACAGATTCCATTCTCACGTACATAATATTGACATTGCTTCTCAGCTAATGGCGCGGGGGATGGATGGGGATATGACGGGTTGGCGCGAGCCCAGTATTGCATAATGAAATCTTTTAATACCCTTTATAATGTTTGACTCTGGGTTTGTGGCTGCATGTGACCTTGGCTTCGGTAATCGAGAGGGCTATACACCTGCGCTTCAATATCATCTTGCTCCTCGATGGTTCGGAGGTGCAGAGAGTAAGTCATGTACTACCTGCACCCCTGCTCGACAACAGAATCGATGGCAGAATATTTCTCTACCAAAGGTCACCCTGCCATTGCTAACGAAAGCGGTGATCTCACTGACTCCCAGCGCCTGTGATTCATCGCAGAATGCAGTTCTGCAGTTGTAGATCAGAAGGTGAGATATCGCGAGTTGTATTTTTTTAATATCATCAAAATCAGTCGTGAAGTCAGTAGGAAAAGGAATCTCGCGTCCGCCCTTGATCGGCAGTCGCTCAGGTACGCCGATTGAGTGAGGCTGAGAGGATGTACGTCAAGAGGCCGCGACCGCCTTAAGCGAGCCGGCGATCGATTGATGCCGGTAGTGAGTGAGCGAGTGAGTGAGTGGGTGAGTGACTGACTTACCGTATCTATCCTCTCTCTGGTTTCAACGAGACCTTGGCAAGCCGTGCGCGGGTGGAGCCGACGGGCAACGGCAAAAAACACGTGACCGATCCGCAGAGCCATTGCTGACTTCGAAATGCCAAGTATCAAAACCCTCACCGTGCCGTAGCGCGTTCGCGCAGCCGAGATTCCATTCGAACTGCCCTGCTGCCGCCGGGACCGGTAGTACATCTTGATATGCTCACCTGTCTTTGTCCAGCCTCGGCACCCTCGGCACCCGACTCCAAAGGCGTCTGTCTAGCTAATCTTTTCTTTTTAGCTCGTAAGCTAGCTCGCTCGTGAGCTATCCCGGTAGCTTTCACAGAAGCTCTGTTTACGTACCAGAGGTGATGAGATGGGGTTGATGATTAGCTTCTTCTTCTTTTTCTTCTTCTTCTTCTTCTTCTTCTTCTTCTTAGAGAGAGAGAGAGAGAGATACGAATGAGGAAGAAAGCTATGGTTAGCATAAATCGATTGCAAGCTAAGGTCCCGCGGGTTAGATGTAGGTACGTATCTTCCAATACGGGATGGAGCTTCACGAACACACACGCCTCTGTTACGTCGACGATGGAAACGCTGGTTCGGCTCTAGGACCAGGCTTAAAAGTAGAGACGCTTAAATCTAACTCGGGAAAAAAGAAGCTGGGTGTGGTGAAGTCCTTTTTGAGATACGGATTGAGAAAAGAAAAGAAAAGAAAAGAAAAGAAAAGAAAAGAAAAGAAAAGAAAAGAAAAGAAAAAAGAACGAAATGAATGGAAAGTTGAACATATTCGGATTCGCTTGATTTGTTTTTGAGCTTGACGGTACCTAAGGTAGTTTCTCGACGTTGGATCTTGCTGGCTGAGTCATCCTTTTTCTGCTCGCTTCTCTGCTTGGCTGGCTCCACCGCGCACGGCTTGCCAAGGGACTCATTTAAAGCAGTCTAGGTATGCAGTACGGCAGGTACCGGAACCGGTAGGTTGATCGGTCGGTCGGTTCCTTCCGCCTTCCCGCCTTTGCCCCACTACTGTAACTACTACTACAGTACTACTACGTAAGTACAGCGCACCATCTACGGTACCACAGTAAGTCCAGGCCTAAGTATTACCCCTCGAGGGTAGGGAAACCAGGGGGTTTGAAGTGGAAAACCGAACTTTTGAGGCACCCCCGAGGGGTAATACTTACTTACGCCTGCGACATACTACTACTACTACTACTACTACTACTCGTCTCAGTAACAAGCAAACCCTTGAGAAAATACCTAGTACAAGCGGAAGAAGGAGGAGGAGGAAGACACAACCCATTCCGTCAGCCCACGAGAGTAACGCCAAGGCCGTGCAACGCACGAACCCCCCACCCCCACAATAGACACAGTAGGTATGGTACCGGTCGGCACCTTATTCTATTCTATTTTTAATCTCTCCTCACCAGCCGCTTATCCCCCCTATGCCTCGAACATTAATTAGACTTCGAGTTCTGTTTCCTCACGCTTTAACCCATCGATCATGTAAGCCCAGCCCGCCCAGCCAAAACCTCCTCACTCGCTGCTGCTGCTGCTGCTACTGCTCTACACCCGAAAAACCCTTCCCCGTAGTAGCAACGCCGCCTGCACGCACACCTTGAATAGTACTTACTACTTACAGTCTAAGGTACCAATTAAATGTTAATTGCCGCTTCAGCGTGTCACTTATCGCGATTGATTGGCTTGTGAGCTACCGTAGCCTATCGCAGCGGAAGATGAAAAGG